ACGTAACCCGATTTAGGGTACATTTGTAGATCTATCAAAAATGTAACCGCAGGCCTATCAATTTTGAATCTTTTGCAACACTGGTGTCTCTCGACGTAGTCAACAATCGGAGTACGGTATTCAAACTCTTTATATGCACGGATACGGTTCACAGATATATATAACTCATGTTAATTTATCTTGCGTGATAGTAAATGTAAATAAGACACACTTTTTTTTTCAGACCGATAATGTCAGAAAGATATCCTGAATGGTTAAAAAAAGAACAGGAAAATGGAAATATAACTGTTTATAAATTTTCACAATTTAAGAATGTTGAAATTATTGGAAACGGTATGATTCTTCAAATTATTTATTGCGCTATTTATCTATTTCAAATAAAAAATTTTAACATTCAAGTGTAAAATTCACAAAGGAGGGTTTGGATTTATTAGTTCGGCTGACTACGATGGTGAAAAAATAGCATTGAAAAAGCTTAATACTAAAGAAGCGACTAAAGAATTTGTTAACGAAGTAATATATTATTAGTCATCTTTCTATGGTTTGTTTCCACCTAATAAATCATAATATTATTATAGCTTAAACAATTACGTGCTATTGGATTTCATCCTAATGTTAACCAGTTTTATGGGATTACAATAGGTACTACTACTAATAATATATAAAATCTATCTAATACACCTAAATTCATTAACTAATAATATTTTACTACGATTAGATCCTAATACAGAACATCCTCTGTTGGTATTGCAGTTTGCAAATGGAGGAAACTTGAGGCAATATTTACAAAGTAAATGGCATGAGAATACTTTTAAAATTTCAATAAATGAAATCATTAACATTGCAAAACAAATTACTCGCGGATTAATTCGTTTGCATGAGAATAATATAATTCATTGTGACCTAGTAAGTATAAAATTTCTAATATTTGACATATAATTTACTAATATAAATTTAATTTATAACTTACTAATATAAATTTAAATTCATAATTCAATAATTTATTTAGCATCCTAAAAATATCCTAATAAATAATGGCAAATTTTTGATTGCGGATTTTGGTTTAGCAAGAAAAGTGAATGATAGTTTTGTTTCTTCACTCGCAACATCGGATGGCATGCCAGCATACATTGATCCACTATGCCATCAACCTGAAAACAAACGTATCGAAAAATCGGACATTTATAGCTTAGGTGTAGTATTTTGGGAACTTACAAGTGGAACTGCTCCATTTGGATGCGCTATAAATGGAGTTGCTATATGTGTTCAAATATTGCAAGGTTACCGAGAAGATACTATTCCTGGTACACCACATAATTTCTCTGAGCTTTATAAAAATTGTTGGGATATTGATCCGCAGAAACGTCCAACAACAGACAAAATTTTAAAAACTCTTGATAACATATCAAAAGAAACAGGAGTTGAGGTGTTTATTACAAATTCTAATCGAAGACTTATTCCTATTATAACCAGAAACGTCACTTCTACTTTATTTCCCATTGATCTAAATCTACCGATACCTAGCTTAAAACCTCAAAAGGAGGACGTTGTGGGCGAATTAAAAGCTCAAGGACTAGATTATTATGAGGCGAATAACTATGAAAGTTCTATCGATCTTTTAAGCAAATTACTGATCATTGATCCAAATAATACAGATGCATTAAAATTTCGAGGATTAGCCTACTTTAAACAAGAAAATTACGAAAAGTCACTTTTGGATTTAACTAAGTTATTAAATATTATTAATAATGATTTATTTTCGCTAATATCTCGGGGACAAATATATTGTGCGTTAGGCCACTATAAAGAATCACTTGAAGATTTAAATAAGTCATTAATGATAGACTCAAATAATGCTATTGCACTGAGATCTCGTGGACAAACATTATATATGCTAAACCGTTATGAAGAATCACTTGCAGATTTAACTAAATCATTAGAGAAGGATTTAAATAACTCAGATACACTTCGATTTCGAGGAGATGTGCTTTATATGTTAGGGCGTTATGAAGAGTCACTAATAGATATAAATAAATCATTAGAAAAGGATTTAAATAACTCCGATACACTACGACTTCGAGGAGATGTGTTTTATATGTTAGGGCGTTATGAAGAATCCCTTTCTGATTTAAATAAATCTGATCCCAATAATGCAGTTACGTTAGTATCTCGAGGTAAAACGTATTGCATGCTTAATCGTTTCGAAGAATCACTTGCAGATTTAAATAAA